TAACGCTGCACCAGTAATCCCAACCCACTGTTCTAGCCGGGATAAAAGGATACTGTAGTCCACAGTATCAAATGCAGCGGTAAGGTCAAGGAGTACCAGGACTACAGACTGACCAGAGTCATTTGCCAGAAGAATGTCATTGCGGACCTTAACTAAGGCTGTTTCAGTGCTGTGTAGTTTCTTAAAGCCAGACTGAAAGATCTCAAGAATAGAATTTCCACTCAAGAACTCGTTTAATTGAGTGAAAACTATTTTCTCCAGGATCTTAGAAAGAAAGGGAAGTTTGGAGATGGGTCTGAAGTTTGAGCAGGTTGAAGGGTCAAGTCCGGGTTTTTTTATTAAAGGAGTTACCACTGCATGTTTAAAAGTGTCAGGAACTACACCTGTAGCCATACTGCTGTTTATAATGTCAAGAACAGAGGGTCCAATGGAGGGTAGGACTTGTTTAAAAAATGATGCAGGGATGGGGTCAGCAGGGGAACCTGAGGGTTTTATATGACCAATGACATAATTTAGAAATGAGAGGGAAATGGGTTCAAACTGGTTAAAGACTGATGTGGAGGGGACAAAGACAGAGGGGTCAGCTGTGGTGTGAGGAATCAGTGACCAGATCGACTCAACCTTTTTAACAAAGAAACTGGCAAAGTCGTCACACATAACTGCAGAGGCCTCCCTGTTGGCAGACTGAGGCACTGTTAAAATGGAGTTAATGGTGTTGAAAAGAACGCGGGGATTGTGGCTGTTTGAGGCGATGATTTGGGAGAAATATTTAATAGGGACACCATTCGTAGATAAGATAGAAGGAATGACTGCTGGTACCAACTTCCCGATTGAAAACAACATCCTTTTTGGTTTATCAGCATTTAGCACAAGTCTGAGATGGAACAAATCTGACTGGATGGTGTCGAATGCAGACTGTAAGAGCTTAAAATCCTTATCAACTGTTCTAGCTCGACAATAAACAAGTGTGTCATCAGCATAGAAGTGTAAGGATGCATCTATGGTCCTCACAGTTCTAGGAACCATACAGAGGGCACCCCCTAGTCAGCATAACGACGGCACTGTCGGAACTGGGAGACCAATACGAACAATTTAGGGCAGACAAAGAAGAACTCATCGGGCGAGTGATGGGGCACGCCTTGGAGAGATTTGAAGAGGGAGGCGAGATCGTTGGCTACATAGGCGATCAACTTTTGCCAACGGAGGGACCCCTAGGAGAGCCTTCCAGCTGGGCAGTCCATCAATGGAAGTGGGTGTGGCGAGGATTACGGCCTAACCTGTGCCACCCCTCACCGCTCAGCGTAGAATTCTATAAGGGGCGAGTGACAGCCAGAGCTCCAGGAGGAATCAGAAACGCAAGGTTCCTATTCACCTGGCCCACCGAAGGAAAAAGTAATGAACGAGGACATGTCTAACCTCACCCACGCTGGCAGACTTACAAAGAGGGAAGACATAAAGAAAGAAGAAATCCTAGATTCAAAACCAATCGAAGCTGGTGTAACTAATGTACTGATTCAGTACAACCAATCTGGCTCAAAAATACCAGCCTTAATAATCTTAGACGACATAGTATGGCTCGACAAACCAGTATTTGACTTCTCCATATGGAAAAACTGCACAAAGAACTATTTCTATACCAATAGCCAGTACATCAGAAGATCTAGCCTGGACGAACCTCAAAAGGAGCAACATCCAAAACAAGCACATTTTCCTAGATACGACATCTGGATTCAGCCTTGCCCACCAACGTCCCCATGGATATTCAACGTTGTCCACCTGACCATGGGGGGAAAGGAAATAAAGCTCAGATGGGGACCTAATTACCACGAACTATACCAAAGCCGATTCTTCGAAATCTCGGTGGGTGGAATAATGATTTGGAGTAGAAGCCTGCAAATGGTAGAAGCTATCAAGAGGCCCCACCGCAATTCAATATGTGGAGGCCATTTATCAAGCACAACGGAAAATAACTGGGGGACCCAATTTCCAACAAATGTGGAACCTTCAGGGACCCCAACTCGAACCCAAAGAATGATTGGTAACTCAATGGAAATGGGTGTGGAAAGGACTAGACCTCGGATTTCCACACCCCTCTCCACTATATCTAGAGCTCCTTAAAGGACGAATGTCTATGAACCACAGGCACTGGAAGAAGAGGCGTCGAGCTAGAAGAAGCAAGAACCCCTTTCAAGAAGATGTCACTGACATACAGAAGCCCTTACAGCGATGATTCGAGCAGCGATGACAGCGATGATGAAGCGACCCCAAACCGACTTAAGGACCGTTTAAGGACTAAGATTTTGGATAATGCGACTTGTCTACGAACCCTGCTGCGGGTACTCGTAGTGTTAATAGGCTTAGAAATGTTGTTAATTATTTTGTATCTAGCTGGAGTCCGACCATGGAGCCTGACGCATGTGAAAGTAGCCCATGGAAGATCCAAGTATGCAAACATGACCTGCTGGGACGTCACCGCAAAGAATGTTTTCCTGCCATGGGATCAGAACGACACCATCCAGATCCAAACTATGGCCTGGAATAAAGCGAAGCGAGCAGGTCATCAAGCCTGGATGGTAAAGCTGAGCAACACTCCTGAATGGGACTCGGCTCTGACCGCTGAGAACCTGACCGGAGCAGACAGACCCCCTTGGGTCGTCACTAATTTGATCCTGCTACCAGATGGTGTTGTCGTCTGGATAGCTGTATTAAATGAACGAATCACACGATCAACAAGATGTAATTGGATCCAACCACAAACAAAATCCCCGGAGTGGCACTCTGGAACAATCTGCCCATCAACATTCGACAGGCCACCTCTGTCTCTATTTTTAAATCTCTCCTCAAAACACATCTGTACTCATTGGCATTTAACACAGTGTGATCTCATTTGGTATTTCGTTGTTGATGATTGTGTATATCCATTTTGCTTTTACTCCCTGACATTTAACGCAGGGTGATTTGATTTAGTATTTCATTGTTTCTCATTATATTTCATGTTTTTATGCTTTTATTCATGTTGCTGTAATATGTTGTTATTAATATTTGATGCTGTGATCTTTTTTGGTAAGCACTTTGATAACAGTTACTGTTTTAAATGTGCTACATAAATAAATGTGACTTGACTTGACTATTGAGTTTGTCGATTCTTACAAATACTTGAGTATTTTGGTTGATGCACATCTCTCTTTTAAGCCTCATGTCGAAAACTTGGTAAAGAAACTGAAAGTAAAACTGGGTTTCTTTTTTTAGAAACACATCCTGTCTAACTCTGAATGTTAGGAAACACTTTGTAACTGCTACATTCCTTCCCTCCATTGACTACAGTGACATTATTAACACGAACGCTCCTGCAACCACCTTACAGATGTTGGACGCTGTCTATCATGGTGCACTAAGATTCATAACTGGCTGTAACTACTGTACCCATCTTTGCACCCTGTATTCATTGGTCAATTGGTCATCATTAACTTCACATAGACTCTCCCACTGCTACTTTTTCATTTTTAAATCACTTCTTGGTCTGTTGCCTTCATACATCTCCTACATGTCAATGTGTGAGTGCAGCTACAGCGTGCGCTCTCAGGACATCATTACCTGCAGTGTTCCCTCAGTACGGACTGAATTCCCTGAGGTCAGCGGACCAGTTGCTCCTCACAGTTCTAGGAACTCGTCTTAAGCGCAGAGGTGACAGGGCCTTCTTTGTAGCAGGACCAAGACTCTGGAATGAGTTACCTCTGCTTGTCAGGCAGGCCCCCTCCCTCTCGGTTTTCAAGTCCCGTTTAAAAACTCAATACTATTCAGTAGCATTCAACACCAGATGATCTGTGTTTTGAACCTGTATGCTCCACACTGGTTTGTCGTCATTATCTGCATCGTTTTTATGTCTATATTCTGATTTACTTCATTTTGTATTTTGCTTTGTGTGTTACCTGTTGTTCTGTCTGTACATCACTTTGGTTGGCCTTGTCACTGTTTTAAGTGCTCTATAAATAAAATGGTATGGTATGAATTTGGCGAAAAGGCCTTCTCCTACTCCGCTCCTGTTTCCTGGAATATCTTGCAAAAAGATCTGAAGCTCTCGACCTTGACCTCTCTAAGGGATTTTAAACAACTGTTAAGTTAATTGAAAAAGATGACTCAGTCATGTTCCTGCTTTTAGCATTTTACATCGCTTTATAATGTAGCTGTTTTTGTTTTGTTTTTATGTCATTTCTTCTATTTACTTTTCATTTTATATGCTTTTTTATATGACTGCCTATTGATGTTTGTACCTCATCTGTGTTCTTTGTTTTAAACAGGTCTCTCTTGTAAATGAGTCCTTGTGGCTCAATGAGACTAACCTGTATAAATAAAGGTTGAAAGATGAATGAGCTAAAATTCCTCCAAGCCGGTGTGCAGGACTGATCAACAGTTACTGGAAACATAGTTAGTTACTGCTGCACAGGGGTCACACCAGATAAAAAAAATCAAAAGTTCACATACTTTTGCCACTCACAATAGAATAGAGTAGAATTTATTGCCATGTGCACAGTTACATTATAGTATAAGCACATTGGAACTCTTGTGTGTTTCTCCAACTCAAGAACAGTAAAAGTTTATGAAAAGATAACAAAAAACAAAATGTAATATTTATCGTAATATTATTTATGTATAATAAAAACTATACAATTAGAAAAACATGTTGAGCAATAAAATGCATAAAACATTAACTTTAAAAAAAGCGTTGACATGTTCGTATATTGTTTCACTCAGATGTCTTCAACATGCTCAGGACAACTGTTTTTTTCAAAACCACCTCCATAATCCAAGATTTTATTGTTTTATACAAATCCTCGTGGCTTTTTCATCACTTTTCCTCCTTCACAGTTGCACCAAACAGATGACCTCAAGTCTTTGCGTTTGTGTCATCCGTCGACCTCACAGATGGCTCCGACCATTTGCAGATAAGTCAGCCCAAGAAACCAAGTAAGATCCTGGCCCCACCAACACACACAACCAGATCAGCTGCCACAGAGCAAAGCTCGTTTCACCGCAGTGAAACTGAAGCCTCGAGATCTCATCTTAACCCCAATGTCCTCTTGAGTCCGTTTGAGTGGAGTTTTCATCAGGTAAACCATTCTCCTGAAACCATCTTCCAGTCCCATACCAGTGGTGCCAGAGCAGGGCTGGATGAACCATGCCCTGCCGTCACACGCCCCCTTCAAGCCCAGTTTCAGGCAGAGTGCTTCTGGGCTCAGAGCACCTGGCAGGTCCTGTTTGTTGGCCAGAATGACAAGAGGAACTCCTCTGAGACTGTTGTATCTCAGGACCTGAGGAACATTTTGAATTGAACATTTTCAGGAATGTTTCAACAAGTACATTTAAATCAAATGATCTGGATTCAAATATGAGTTTGTTCTAAAAACAGTTAACAAGCGTAAGATATTTCACTAGAATACGAGTTTAAATGCTCTTACTCTGCTGCTAAGCGTCAAGTTTATGTGATAATTACCCGATGAAGTTCTTTGCGAGCCTCGTCCAGCCTCTCCTCATCTCGACTGTCCATCACGAACATCAGTCCAGCTGTGTCTTGGACGTGATTCTTCCAGTGGGGCCTCATCTTCTTCTGACCCCCAACATCCCACACCGTCAGTCCGGGGCCGCTCCCATGCGTCTCCAGAGACTCCACATTGAAGCCCACCGTTGGCACCGTAACCACGCTCTCGTTGTATTTTAGTTTGTACAGCAGGGTGGTCTTTCCCGAGCCGTTCAGGCCCAGCATGAGAACCTGCGCTTGTTTCTGAGGTATGGATCCAAGCATTCCCATGTCTGAAGAGCTGCAGTAAAGTGTCTATACCCAGAGCTGTCTCCTTTCCTGGTGGGCAACTGTAAACTGCGATGACTGTGCTCAGGGTGTTTGGTCTCTTATGTCCACCAAGTGACCCCTTCCCCTGTCGTCCCTGCGTGGCTTCGAGTAAAGCTATTTATGTCCAAAGTGACGATGCAGCTAAGGAGGGGCGACGTGAAGCTCTCTGGTTAGCACCGTCATTGGAGTCACATCTCACCTGTCTCCGCTCATCAAACACACCAGCAGCCAGGAAACCAACAAGAGGATTATAAATCCCACTGGCTAAGCGTCCATGACGGTGACATCATAGTTATATTTCGGCTGCACTGGCTGATGGATAAGTATGGGTTTTATCTTTACACTGTCATGTCTGCTGAGTCGAAGATAGGCTGATGTGTTCCATAACTACATCAACACGTATTGTTTCGATGCATTGTATGTTGGACCAGTTCTGATTCTGGAGTGAGTATTTTATCAGTCAGTGTCAGGACCTGTTTTAGTAGTAGTCAAGATATTTTGCTATAATTTACAAGGTACATAAGCTAATTAACCTCACTTTCCTGCTGCCTTTAGGTCAAAATGACTCAGTTTTAAGAGTGAGGCCTTGCAGGTAAAGGCAACACGAGGGTTAAGGCTAAAGATGCTAAAGATTTAAAGATGTGTGGTTCTAGCAATGTACGATCTTGCTTTCGAATTGAAACTACTCTAAACAAAAGTGAAATTGGGAAGATTTCTAGAAACTCAGTGCCAATGAAGTCGCTATGCCACTTGTTACCAAAGAAGACACCAAGTGAGGTTCTTGAGATGATCTTCAGTCTTCTTTTTCTTTCAGCTCCTCCTCCATCTCACTTTGTCATCCGTCTTAACCTGGGCTTAATTTGAGCCAGATCCTGCCAGATCAGGATCTGGGAACGCTCTTATTTTGACAGGGTGTGTTCCGGTAACGGTTTGTTTGGATCCGGTAACTCTCAGGTTTACTAATAATAAAGTTATCAACAAATATGACTGCCTTGAATGAATAAGATAATTGGATATGTAAATTGAAAATAATTACATAAACACTAATTTTAAACACAACAGTCACTTACGAGTATATGAGCTGCCCCTTTAAGTAGCATTTCTGTCTACCCTTAAAAAAATCTACGCCCCTAAAAGAGTGGTGGGGGTGAGTGCCGAACGAGCTAACCAGGCAGTCGTACGCAGGCAGGAGCCCAGATGGAGAAGGCGCCTGGAGGTTTCACATGTGGAGTTGGAGAATAACGAGCAGGGACGGTGTCTGGCTCTGAACTGTCAAGTAATTGGAGGGGTAGGATCTTGACATAAGCAGAGTGTTTACAAATGTAGGTAAACGAAGATGTTTAAACACCAAAACGCAGGAAATCACATCTACTTCATTCAAAATTTTCTGGGGGAGGTTCCCCCTCGCCTCTTCACCCAATGGAGGTCTAACTGCTGCTGCTCAGCCTTCGATGCATGTCCCCTAATCAGTTGAGTTTGTTGAAGGGATAATGTTCAGATAAAGAAGCAGGTAAGATTTTTTTAAATTGTTTTAGTTAAGGTAGATTGGTCCGTTTGTTACTGTCAGGTACTTGATCTGTTTAAAGCGTTTCACTTCGAAGTTAAAAACAAGGATTACGAGCTGCGGTTTTACTGTGTTGTCTTCTGAGGCTGTACTTGTAGTGAAAGGTTTAAGAATCACTGTATTAGTGAAGTATCTTTGCACAGATCATCATATAGTCCGCAACAAACAAAACTCATGCTATTCTGCAGCTTTTTCAAGGGAACTGTTATTTTTATAATTAAACAAGAAAATTAAAAATGAAAGAAAATGCTCAGGAGAAAAATAAGGAACAAGTTCACATGATATTTTTTGGGGTTAATTAATACAAAGAAAGACAAGTTTTATGTTTTAACGGCTGTTATTACTTTATTGCGCTTCAAAGAATGCAATGTACAACATGGATATTAGATGTTTGTGAGATACAACTGAGTGGATTTTCTTAAAAAATTGAAATACTGACACTCATTTTGATCGTACCTTTATGTGATTTATATCGTTAAATTTGTATTTACCTTTTCTTTTTACAGTTTATTAAAGTCAAGAAAAGCAAGTACAAATGCCACAAACATTCTGTACATCGTCAAAGAAAACGTGAACTAAAAGAACAGTACATTGTGTTTAGGCAATACCAACACGAAGACAGTTTTACACTCACTTTACATTTTTTTGTCTCTTGGAGACATTCCTTGAACGCTGAACTAACAAGGTTTGACACTGAGGGAAGCTCTGAGCCCGTCGTGAACGACTGCATTTGATCAAAAACAAAGACGTTTTGGCAGCAGAAATAAAAGGCAACGGCAACAGAGTGCCATAAAACAGGGTTGTTATTTTAGTCTTAGTGAAGGTGACGTATCAAAAACAGCAAACTGTCAATTTAAAGCCAGTTTATCTCTCAGGTAGTTTGTAAAAAAAATTAAAAAGTAGACAAATAGCGTGATTAAATAATGAATATGCTATGCAGAGTGGACTGTAAATTGAACACAAAAAAACAACTGCCAATAATCATAATTAAAAGCAACAAATTTCATTTAAATAGGTTTTAATAAATCTGATGAGTGAAACCTTAGGAGAGACACGAAAGTATCACTCCAATCTGGTATGAAAATGTAAAGACCGATGAACTACAGAGATATCCAACAGACTTGACATTAAATATCAATATTAGGTGCACAGATTTTGACGAGTTCAGTCTGAGCAGAAAAGAATAGCAGGTCCATTCCTCGGAGCAAAGACTGTCCACAATCCTCTTAGAAGACGTAAAGCTTGTCCCCTCCTCCACACGGGTCCTCCAGGTGCTCCATTGTGAAACATCCTAACTGATGTGGGTGTTTCAAGATAAACTTGTGTTTAAAATACGGTAAGGATTTACAGCCGATGCGTTTCTGATGCAAGGAAACAGTTCGAACACTTTATGCTTATCAGTTAAAAGTTAGATTAGATGGACGCAGATTAAAAAAAAAAACAATAAAAAACATATTGGCTGCAAAGACGAGTGAAATATTTAAAATAAAAATGAAATGTCACTTCTTTACTTGTTCTTTAAATCTGTCGTGAAGACACCAGACTGTTAAAAGTTTTGTCATTAATTCACCTCCATCTTTTCTACTGAACACACACACACACGCACGCACGCACACACGCACACACACACATATACACACACATACACATACACACACTTACAGATGTGTGTGGATTCACCAACAGCTGTACAAAAGTAAATCTGCTTCATTGCATAACACGACCAATCTCACATTACTGTGTTTATAAGGGACGTTGGGCATTAAAGTCTTTTGTTTGAAGAGCAAATCGCTGCAAATATCAGAGATAGTTTGCTCTTATCCCAGTTAAACCATGTTATTTATTGTTATTTGTATTATTTCATTTAAAGATGTAACTATTGTAAGTTAAATTACTTCTTTTCGTTGGTCTTGCCTTTAAACTTGACCACCATGACGGTGATGTTGTCAGGACAACCGCGGTAGAAGGACTGGAGGACGATGCTCTTGGCGCCGAAGTGCGGCTCGTCCAGCCGTTCCCTGATGAAGCGAACCGCCTCCTCGTTGCTGAAGGTGTCCCACAGGCCGTCCGACGCCAGGATCATGAACTCGGGCTGCAGCTTGGTCAGGTCGAAGGACATGATGTCGGGATCAGGAATGAGCACGTTGAGGTTCTTCAGAGGGTAATCCCCCAGGGAGCGGGACATGGCCAGGATGCCCTGGACTCTCCATGAGCCGTTGAAACTGATGAAACCACCTGCAGGGAAAAAACGAACAGGTGCAAACATGTGATGAACAGGGAAAGAAAGAGACGAGTGGGTGACAAGAGGGGAAGTGGTGCAAATACAAAGAAAGAACAAAACGTTAGGAAATATTCAAATTAAACAAAAACAAAAAAATGTTGCTTTAATATCAAAGTTCATGTTCAATAATCCAGGTAGAAAATCCAACCAGTTCAGTCAGGTCCTCTGGACGATTTCTGTTTTTCTTGAGACGTTTCATCTTTCATCCAAAGGACTTCATCAGTCCGAGGAGCCACAACAAACCGAGTCCCACAAGCAGCACACCTACATAGTGAACCAACCAGTTTGCTGGTGATAAGATGGTTTCTGGGGCCCACTCTCTCCCCTGTCAACTCCTCTGAGGCAGCCATAGCCAAAGTGGTTCAAAACATCAAAGTTCATGCTCAATAATCCAGGTAAAAAAAAATCCAACAAAATTAAATCAGGTCCTCTGGACGTTTTTTTTTTGTTGTTGAGACATTTCGTCCTTCGTTCAAAGGACTCCTGGCTGCCTCAGAGGAGTCAATGGGGGAGAGGGGGGGCCCCAGAAACCATCTTATCACCAGCAAACTTGTTGGTCCATTATGTGAGTGCGCTGCTCATAGACGTGTTTTTGTTGGGCACGTATCAGTTCATGTCAGATCACGTACTTCTACAGTTTCAACAGATTTACGAGCAGGAAATCCCTCTGGAAATGACTGGATGAGACGCAGAGTTCCAGACATACTCAGAACTTCCTCCTGATTCCCAGTGGGGAGTGTCATTACCGCGACTTTAAAAACACTGAAGTTGAAAGTTCAAATCAAGAATGTAAACAATGACATCATCAGAAAAAAAACCCTCATCGTGCACGACTTCTGACTACAAAATAAACTCCTCTTATTGTCCCACATCTTCACATCAGGCATGTTGAATTTATTTCAGAAATAATGGGGTTTGTATTTGATGTCAGAAAATTAAAATGCTGAATATCAACTGAGGGGAAAAAAAACTTCACACTTAAACACATTTTTGTACAAAGTACATCTTTAGTCTACTATAGATTTAAAAAAGTAATGCACGAGTGTAAAATCTATTACCTAGATTTGAAATAAATAAATAAATAAACTGGGCAGCACGGTGGCGCAACTGGTAGAGCTGCTGCCTCTCAGCGAGCAGGTCCTTGGTTCAAACCCCGGTCCAGGTGCCTTCTGGGAGGAGTTTGCATGTTCTCTCCGTGCATGCGTGGGTTTTCTCCGGGTGCTCCGGTTTCCTCCCACAGACCAAAAACATGCATGTTAGGCTAATTGGTAACTCTAAATTGTCCCTAGGTGTGAGTGAGAGAGTAAATGGTTGTTTGTCTCGTTTGTCTCTATGTGTCCCTGTGATGGACTTGCGACTTGTCCAGGGTGTACCCCGCTCCTCGCACAGTGATTGCTGGAAATGGGCACCGGCGACCCCCGTGACCCAAAGTGGAATAAACGGGTAAAGCTAATGGATGGAAATAAATAAACTATTATAGAACGATATAATTAAAATGAGTTGTTTGGCAATTCAAAGTAAGTGATTAACATAAGAACAATATCAGCTGAGGAGGAGCATTGAATAAAGAGTCTAACATCACTTTGTGAAAACGTTTCACATTAATTGCGTAAATTAAAAAAAAAAAAAAAATCCACCTTTTGGCTCAGTTCAGTATTTACTGTAGCAAGCTGTTCTAATTTGAAGTATTTAAAAACAAGTTTGAGATTTCAGTCACAGTTGTTGCTCAAGTCTCAAAGTCCCTGCCTTTCATGACAGTGGGCGGGCGATCATGTAATTACCTGTGTGAAAACGATCCGGTTCTATGTATCAGTAACATGTCTTAATTTATTTACACGTTTGTTGTTGTTGTTTTCAGGAGAGAAGCTTTGGGTGCCCCCACTCTGTGAGGGGTGTTTTATTTTGCAGTACCAAAGTGGACCTGTAGATAGAGATGTTGGACTTTCTGTCGACTAATCTGAAAGTCTCCACTGAAACTGTCCTCAGCAGTAAATATGCAGAGTTAGAGAAGACACACACACTGCCTGGCTGCATCTGATAACACACTGCCTCAGAAGCAAACTGTTATCAAGTTTGGAGGCAAAGACAAGATGGACCAATTAAAAAAAGATAATAGTCTCTTCCTTTGATCACAGGGAACTTTATTTCAAAAATACTTATCGATTCCCTCAAATTAAAAAGCAAATCTTTATTCTGTTGCTCAGAAGCGGACGAGCTGAAAACGAGTAGAGATCAGAACTGCACTTCTCACCAGCCTTCTTGATCCTCTTGCGCTCCTTGAGCTGGTAAGGTTTGTGGTCGTGTGAAAGAGGAATGGCGTTGCCGTCTTTATCGCACAGAACTCCACGCGAATCTCCAACGTTGGCCACCGTCAGCTCCTTATCAGACAGCAGAGCCACCAGACATGTGGTGCCTGAAGCAGACAGAAGGGGGGGGGGGTGCAGAGAAGGGTGAGAATCACCTGGTGAATGTTGAAAATGTCAGAAACTCAAGTTCTTAAGAGTTAGCCCCAGGTGGACGAAAATGTCTGCAACAATCCAAGAGCTTTCAGTGTGTCGAAGTGGTGGGGCAGACTTTAAATTCTAGGCGTCTGGTGAAAATGTTTTACTGTAAATCAGTTTTCTATCGAATTATAGAACACACAAAAAATAAATAAAACATTCTTCTTTCGGCTGTTCCCTTCTTCAGGGGGCGCCACAGTGAAATAACTTGCACCAAGACTTGGTGACTGTTATTTTACACCGGATGTCCTTCCTGACACAACCACCAAGCTACCACAGCCTCTGTGTGGAGCAGAGAGCTGCCATCTACGGTGCAGATGGTGGGGGTTAAGGGCCTTGCTCAAGGGCATACAGCGGGGCTAATGAGGGTGGATCCATATTTGGATGTCGATCTGGGGATTCGAACCAGCGACCTTCCGATCACAGGCCCACCTTCTCTAACCTCTGCGCCACCACTCCCCCTTACAAAAAAAAAAAAATCAAATCAAAGTCAAAATTACAGAAACAGTTTTGCAACACGTAGGTAAGACAGAAAACTAAGGCCCAGGTTCAAAGGATTGGATGGATTTGTCTGTTAGTAAAAAAATTTATGACCTACTGGACAGCTCATGGTGAAACAGAGCAGCGGAAACTTCCAGAAAGGAATTATGGGATGCACATGTATGACTGATTAGCTTTAGGGTCGACTTGTAAACACAAAAATCGATCTAACCTTATTTCTTTTACAAACAGAGCTACTGTAAAATACGGTGTGGTAGTAGCTCATCCTAATCCCCATCACATAATCTGAGTGTTAAATCTTTGTTTAAAACTGACAATGTGACAATCAATATTTGTGTCTTCAGGGACAAACCAACACGTATGTAAATTATTGCCATGATAAAAGCATCCAAGACATCCACGGTTTGCGACAAGCAGCTGGCCCTAAATATTTACCATCACCTGAGAGCTGCTGGTGTTTGTGTTTCAGGAGAAAAACCAGAGGAAGAGGAGCATCTGCTGCACTGCTGCCTTTACATAAACACGTCTGGCATGTTGGGTAAAATATAATTTGTCCTCTCGTGTTGCATTTAGAGCAGGCGACTGAATCCAAATACCTTGGAACAATAATTGATAACAAGTTGACCTTTGAGCCCAACACTGACTGTATTTACAAAAAAGTCAGACCTTCTGTAGAAGCTAAGGAGCTTTAATGCAAGCAAAATGACTTTGCAGTTGGTGTACAGGTCACTGGTCGAAAGTGTTGTTTCATTTAATATTGTCTCTCCTAGCCAGAGACAGGAACAAGTTGTCCCGGGTGGTCTAACAAGGTAGTAAAGTCACTGGTCATCAAGACATGAAACTTACAGACCTGTACAATCAGGTTCTGGAAAGAAAAAAAAAAGTCAATCCAGGTTTACAATGACCCAACTCATCCATTGCCACCATTATTCAGACTGGTCCCATCTGGTAGACGACTGCTGGTTCCTTTAGCAAAGAAAAATGGGAACAAAAAGTCATTTGTTCCCTCGGTGGTGAATCTACTTAACAGGGTCCTATTTAAACGCAGCCTCACATAACAAACCACCGTCTGCTGGGAAGTTTCCATATTTTTAATGCATCGTGTATTTTAGAATGTTTTTATTGGGTTAGCAAAGCTTTTTAAACTTTTTAACGTTTTATGACATTTTTAACTTGTGTTGTTTTTTTATGAGCCAGATGTGGAAAACAAATCTCCGTTTCATTGAATGTTATGGACAATAAAGTTATATAGAATTGAATTGAGTTTTCAAATACATCGTCTAGCAGGACGATGAAAATGCAGTAGTGACTGCTACAACCAGTTTACTGTATTCCACGGCCAAGTGTTTTCTAGTGGGAATTTTCCTTTTTATGCTATTTTTAAATATACGATTTCTTCTTCGGGTTGTTTAATATACATTTTATGAAGTTAAGCAATTTTTATTGTATTGTTTATTTAATCATGAATAAAAGCAAAGGCAAAGAAATATATCAACAAAAAAACAAAAAGAAATAGGTTGGCCATCGACTGCTAATTTCTACAGCTCGGTATTGGCCGTAAAAACTCATATCGGTCTAAAAAAAGATAACTTAAGAGTAACTACATAAATACAACTTGTCCCTTTTACTAAAAGGTGTTAAGGTGAACTAAAGACATTCTGCTTGGGTCATTAGCGATTCTCCCCCGACACATTTGTGTGGTTTTAAGAACAGCTTCTATTCTTCATTTGTTAAAACCCGGAGCTCAGTGTTAGAAAACATTTCTCTTTCTGCCACTCTGTGCCTGCTGTGTTTGTGGCAGGTCGTATTAGATGGTGCAGCGAAGACCAGAGCGTTCAGAACCAGAGAAGCACGCTGTCTTTGGCATTTTATTAGTGCCGTTTAATTTGTGAATACATCAGCAAGACAAAGCAAACAATGCCGAAAAGTTGGAGCTAAAGCCAGAGCACTTTGCATGATTCAGGCGACACGACGTCAGAAAAAACACCTTAAGCTTCTGTCCAGCGAAAGGAGACGGCGTGAAACAATGCAGCAAGTGAAAAACATGAAAGAATGTAAGATCAAGAGAAAAAACTCTTTCAAGTTAACTTCTCTTCCTCGCTCTCCTCTCTAAAATGCCTTTCTCACTCCTTCCTCTCTCTGTTCAGCTTCCCAGCCAGGCTGAAGTGAGTGTAGACCAGGGATCTGAGGTCTTTTGTGTGAGATCCAACATCCTGTGCAGAAAGAGCAGATCTGTCCATCGGTGGCAAAGTGTTCACAGAGTAAGGACAAAACCAAAACCTGGAAAATACTAAAACAACAAGAAGGCCCCACATAAGGCAGAACATAAAACAAAGCTGGTTTTATTGTCATTCTAAGGGTGTGGATCACCTACTAACATTTTAGTTTGTTTAAGGTTGACAGCTTGATGAAGTGTTGACTGATTACAGTTTGACTCTGGCTCCTTGCATTTAGACAAAGGAAACTCATTTATTGATTGTATTAAGGGTCCTGCCAGGTTATAAGTAGACCTGTCATGATAACAAATTTTGCTGGGCGATTAATTGTCTCAGAAATTATTGCGATAAACGATACTATTGTTTAAGAAAAATGTTGGTTAATTTGTTTTGAGTCTAGTATCTTTTTTCGACCACTGGATGGCAGTATAAGACTGTTTGAACAGAAGGATGGATAGCGAGTGAGCGAGCAGCGCGTCTCTTTAAGAAAAATGGGAGGGAGGCCCCTTGACGTGACATGGGATGTCTCTTTTTGGTTCTCAAAATGGCGGACGCTCGGTGTGGTTTGAGCTCTTTAGCATAGCATTTTTCACACAAAGCTTTTAATAAAAAAAATCAGTAAACAAGTCCTCAGCTTCTTTCTGCAGAGGAAAAACAACTTTTTAGAGGATGGCACGGGTTTCAACCGTGAATTTTGGAGCTTCGACAAGACCGAGTTTTTTTCCTGAGGTTGGCCTGTTAGCTTAGCTGCTTTTAACGATCTAAAAACATGATTTTGGACGGTTAAAACAGATTTTAAAGAGTAAAGAGAAAGGGAGCGGTCAGTGAAGAGCGCCGGAGTTGAGCCTTTTGTCATCCAGTGTCTTCAGAAAGAGACACAAAGAAATGATAAAGCCGATAAATGAAAATGAGGTTGATAATTTTCATTCATCATGCGATTAATTGTTTTATTGTTTATTGCGACAGGCCTAGTTATAAGTGAGAAGATAAGAAACCAGGCTGCAGAGGATACAGACAAAATCAAAAATAAGAGGACAGGAAGAAGTTTGGGTGATGGGCAGACACTATTGCTATTATCATATCATGCCAACTTTAACGAAGACAAAGGAGGTAAATAAGATGAAAATGGAAACAAACTTAGCTGACAGCAAAACTGTAGCAAGAAAAGGAAATGTTGATACCGGTTAATTTTAGATGACATGCTGAATATTTGTTAAAGTCCATTTCCTTTAGTTTCATCATTGCATTCATTTTTAATCCCACCGTTCGTCCCTAAAGCGGCAGCAGCCCTGTGCCTTGCTGTCCGGCTAATTATCCTTATCTAGTTCCCATGGCGATGGAGATAATGAACTGAGATGCTTTGTGAGCATGCCCTTCTCCAATTAGCCCATTCATGCCAGGCATACACTCAGCATTCCCTCATTAAAGTGGCACTACATGCACCCTGTGCTGATGCTAATAATTGGCTTGACCTGGTCAGGAAAACCGTCAGCACTCTGTTAAGATTAACATCCAGCTTCTATTCTCGTTCTATTCTTCTCTCTCCGCTCTAATTTGTGTCTTTGTGCTAATTTACTCCGAGCTGGTTTCTGCTGACAGGCCGTCGGAGCGCTCGGTGCATCTCAGTTTGCGTTTGTAACCAAGCTGCTTGCTGTGCACGCTGTGACAAACGTGGAGGCATGACTAACACAACCCCGGCTCACATTCAAAGCTTTTCTAAAAATAAAGAAAAAGGAACAAAATAAATCTTTGTGGTGTTATTCTACAAACACGTGACACCTGCCATTCCTAGACTTCACTTATTAACGTGTTTATTTCTACTAAATGCATCATTTTGAACTACTTAATCAAGTCAACAGCTTTCGACTCTTTTTCATTATGAAGTTTTGAACCGGGCAGCACGGTGGTGCAACTGGTAGAGCTGCTGCCTCTCAGCGAGCAGGTCCTTGGTTCAAACCCCGGTCCAGGGGCCTTTCTGGGTGGAGTTTGCATGTTCTCTCCGTGCATGCGTAGGTTTTCTCCAGGTACTACAGTTTCCTCCCACAGACCAAAAACATGCATGTTAGGCTGATTGGTAACTAAATTGTCCCTAGGTGTGAGTGAGAGGGTGAATAGTTGTTTGTCTCGTTTGTCTCTGTGTGGCCCTGTGATGGACTGGAGACCCGTCCAGGGTGTACCCCGCCCCTCGCACAGTG